CTGCTTCCACTCCGTTCGCCCTGCTCCCCCCCTCGCCCCTCGCCCCCTCATCCTCCCTCCCTGCCAGCTGCCGCCGAGGAGGGGTCTCCCACCCCCCGCCCTCGCCGCGCAGGGCCCCGCGGCCACATGTCGCCAGAGTGCCGTGGGGCCGCCCTGGGCCGCCCGCCGCCCACCCACCCCCTTCGCGCGCGCGGCGAAGGGTAGGATGGCCCAGGTGGAGGGGGGGGGGCTCGTGGCGGGCCTCGGGTGGCCCTGCGATCCTGGCGCCGTGTTTTTTTCACACCTGGCGCGTCCAGCCGCTTTCGGGCCCCAGGACCCTCAGATATCGATCCCGCTCGAAGGATGATGCAGGCAGGTGGCACGAGGTGTCTAGGGCCCAAGTCGTTTTGGATTGATGTTTTTTGGTGATCCCAAACGGGCGTTGCATGGTTTGCACCGGGGCGGGCCTCGGGTGGGGCTCTTGGGGGCCTATTGTGGCGCCGTGTGGGCCCCGCGGCCCCATGGAGGCCTCTTGGCACACCTTGGGGATCGTCTGGCGGTCTTCACAGCCTCTTCAGGTTTTTCCCAACCATCCTGTGGTGTTGGGTCCTCGTTTTGAAGAGACGGTGCCCCGCGTCTCTCCTCCTCTCCTCCTCCTCCTCCCCCTCCTCCTCCTCCTCCTCCTCTCCTCCTCCTCCTCCTCCTCCTCCTCCTCTCATCATCAGCATCATCATCATCGTCATCGTCACCGTCATCATCAGCATCATCATCATCATCATCATCATCATCATCATCGTTCTTATCACCATCGTCGTCATCATCATCGCCGTCTCCATCATGGCCACACGTTTCGTGGACCCATAGTGAGCTCCACCGAAGGCCCCAGTGGCAAGGTCCGCATGCGGTTCCACCTCCATTTCGGCGCACCCCTCACACGTTCCGTGGCCCCATAGGGAGCTCCACCGAAGGCCCAAGTGTCAGGGTCCGCATGCGGTTCCACCTCCATTTCGGCGCACCCCTCACACGTTTCGTGGCCCCATAGGGAGCTCCACCGAAGGCCCCAGTGTCAGGGTCCGCATGCGGTTCCACCTCCATTTCGGCGCACCCCTCACACGTTTCGTGGCCCCATAGGGAGCTCCACCGAAGGCCCAAGTGTCAGGGTCCGCATGCGGTTCCACCTCCATTTCGGCGCACCCCTCACACGTTTCGTGGCCCCATAGGGAGCTCCACCGAAGGCCCAAGTGTCAGGGTCCGCATGCGGTTCCACCTCCATTTCGGCGCACCCCTCACACGTTTCGTGGCCCCATAGGGAGCTCCACCGAAGGCCCAAGTGTCAGGGTCCGCATGCGGTTCCACCTCCATTTCGGCGCACCCCTCACACGTTTCGTGGCCCCATAGGGAGCTCCACCGAAGGCCCAAGTGTCAGGGTCCGCATGCGGTTCCACCTCCATTTCGGCGCACCCCTCACACGTTTCGTGGCCCCATAGGGAGCTCCACCGAAGGCCCAAGTGTCAGGGTCCGCATGCGGTTCCACCTCCATTTCGGCGCACCCCTCACACGTTTCGTGGGGAGCTCCACCGGGAGCTCCATGCCTCCATTTCGGCGCAGGCACGTTTGTGTTCCCCCATAGGGAGCTCCGCCTAAGGCCTAAGTGGCAGGGTCCGCATGCAGTTCCACTTCCATTTCGGCGCACCCCTCACACGTTTCGTGGCGTCATAGGGAGCCCCGCCTAAGGCCCAAGTGGCACGGTCCGCATGCAGTTCCACCTCCATTTCGGCACACCCCTCACACGTTTCGTGGCCCCATAGAGAGCTCCGCCTAAGGCCCAAGTGGCAGGGTCCGCATGCGGTTCCACCTCCATTTCGGCGCACCCCTCACACGTTTCGCGGCCCCATAGGGAGCTCCACCGAGGGCGCCAATGGCAGGGTCCGCATGCAGTTCCACCTCCATTTCGGCGCACCCCTCACACGTTTCGCGGCCCCACAGGGTGCTCCACCGAAGGCCCCAGTGGCAGGGTCCGCATGCAGTTCCACCTCCATTTGGCGCACCTCTCACACGCTTCGTGGCCCCATCGGGTGTTCCACCAACGACGATACTTACAACGGCGGCATTCGGAATTGCGTATGGTTGGGCCCTTCGCCAGGATAATTGGTGTCTCGTGGGGCCTCTCGAGGACTGCTTTAGAGTCGCCTGGGAGGGGGTGCGATGCACCTCATGGTGGGCGGTCCTGGGAGGTGGAGGGGGGGCCTGGGAGGGGAGTCTGGGAGGGGCCTGGGACGTGCGGCCTGGGAGCGGGGCCTGGGAGGGTGTGAGAAGAATATGGCCACCCTACCAGACAGCCCTTAGCATTCCATCACGCCTCAACGTACCAGGGGGCACGGAGGAGGAGGAGGAGGAGGAGGAGGAGGAGGAGGAGGAGGAGGGGGAGGAGGAGGAGGAGCAGGAGGAGGAGCCTTCTTGGTTCGTCTTGGGGTCGTCTTGAAGGCCTCCTGGAGCCTTCTTGGCCCGTCTTGGAGTCCTCTTGGGCCAGAGAAAGTCATGCAACAAGCCTAGAGGGCACGCGGGAAGCCCCAAGAGATTTGAGAATTCGGGGTCTGGGCCCCTAAGAAACTCCTCAGGACCGAATTGAGGCTCAGAGGATGAGGCAAAGGACCTGAGGACACGCCCACTCCGTGCCCAGAGGCACGGTGGCGGATTTTCAACGACGTTGCCAGCCAGAGGATTGTATTGCCTGACTTGCGCGCTTATGACCAGCAGCCCATTGATGCGGCGACAAGCTGGCCACTACCATGTCAGGGGCTTCCATTTCGCAGTGCGATGCAGCCCCACCAGCCATACATGCAGCAGGAGATGCATGATGACCGCGGGGGAAGCCTGTACCACAGGCTCTGGGCGGTACGCAGGGTGACAGGCCGCTGGCCACTGCCATTCCTGGGTGGGGAGAACGCGCCGCTGGTCCTGCCCTTCTGCGGTGCATGTGCTAGCGCTGAGGTGGACGTCTCCGACGCGCTGCTCGCGTGCGGGCGGGCCTCGGAGTCGTGACTCGAGCTGTGGACATCCATCGGCGCTGGGGCCCATACGTCGAGGCAGGTGGCACTGCTGACCCTCTTGGCTGGGCGCTGTTGCGCTGTGCTGGGCGGCGCTCAGCACCCGAGAGCGGCCAGAGAGTGCAAGAAGTTGGCCTGTGCCTTTGCGGCGTGGCTCTCCCGCGCCCCCCTGGCCGGTACGCGCGCGAGCGCTACAGATGAGAACTGGGGAAACCCGGACAACGAGGAGGATGCGGAGCGAAAAAGAAGAGAAGGAGGAGGGGGCGGAGGATGAGGATGAGGATGAGGATGAGGCGGAGGAGGAGGAGGAGGAGAAAGGGAGGAGAAGGAGGAGGAAGGTGATATGAGGGTGAGGAGGATGAAGGAGAAGGTATAGAAAGAGTAATACTGACATTACGAACAACGTAGTATTACGAATTAGGAGAGCTCCAGATGATAACGCTAAGCGAAGTCGTGCGATTAATATTGACAGTAATCATATTGACAGTAATGACAATACCAGTTATGCTCACACGGTTCATCATACGAACGGGAACATAGTGCGGAGGGTAAAGCTACGTATAATCAGACTGTTCGGCATACTACGAGTAGTACTAGTAAGATGAATACGAAACATGCTACTATGGAGAAGGAGAGGAAAACACAGAGGAAGAGGAGGAGAAGGTGGATGAGAATTTGGAAGAGGAAAAGGGGGATTAAGTGGAAGAGGAGGACGAAGAAAAGCAGGAAGAGAAGGAGGAGGCGGAAGAGGAGCAGGAGGAAGAGGAGGTTGTGGTGGTGGTGGTGGAGAAGGAGGAGGTGGTGGTGGTGGTGGTGGACAAGAGGAGCAAGGAGGAGGAGGAGCAAGAGGAGGACCAGTGTATAACCAAGCCTCACCAACGAATTTTGAATCTACCCTCTCCGTCTCCATTGGGGGAATTGCCCCAGTGGGAGACAGCCGTTTGAAGATCTTGACGCGTGCTAAAACACATTCTCGGAATTTCAGCGCCACGAATCAACCTGACTGTTGCGTCTTGACGGTCCTGAATCGCGCAAGAACGCCATTCCTGGGGCTTCAGCACCGCGAATCAACGTAATCGTTTCGCCCGGACATACCCGAATCGCTCGAAAACCCCTTTTCCGGTACGTTAGCCATGAGAATCGTCGACATGTTTGCGCATGTTTGCAATTACGTAATGTGCGCGGCGCTAAGGCGAGAACCACATTTTGAGAAGGAGTTGCCCTCAATCCGTGAAGCTCTCGTAGTTTTCAATACGAATGCTCGCGGCGCTGAGGCGAGAACCACATTTTGAAATCCGCCCGCTTTGAGTCAGTGCAGCTCTTGCAACTTTTTAAGCCGAACGTGCGCGGCGCTCAGGCGAGAACAACATTTTGAAAACGGCTGGTACAAACCCGCGAAGCTCTTGCAGGTTTCTGAGACGAATGCGCACAGCGCTGAGATGAGAGCCGCATTTTGGAAGCGACCCGCCCTCCATCTATGAAACGGATGCAATTTCCGAGCTTCAGGATCATACATGGTAGTAGGGAAGTCTCAGGCGAAACGCACGGCCCACCCTTCCGGGTGGACTCGGGTTCAAACAGGGAGGCGTTATTTATAAGGATAAGAATGGACGAGGAGAAGGAGGAGGAGGAGGAGGAGGAGGAGGAGGATGAGGAGAAAGAGAAAGAGGAGGCGGAGGAGGAGGAGGAGGAGGAGGAGAAGGAGCTCCTCTCCTTTCCCTGCCTTTCGCCGCCCCTCGCTGCCCCCCCTCCCGGCCTCTCTCCAGCCCTGCCTCCCTCAACTTCGTTCCCCCCTCCCTTCTCGACCTTCGCCAGCCTCCAGCAACCGCAGGACTGCCCCGGGGAGGGGGCGGGGGTCGGTTCTCTCTTGCACTCCCCCTCTCCGCAACCTCCGCTGTCACTCGTTTTGCAATCTCCTGTCTTCTCCCTCCCTCCTCGCCCCGCCCTGCGTCCCTCCCCGAGAGCCGCCCCCAGGCGGTGTGGACTGGCACGCCGCCGCCTTTACCAAGGCGCGCTCATCACCGCGCTCGGCGCCGCGCGCGCGCGGGCGGAGGGCGAGGAGGAGGGCGAGGATTGGGATCGGAGGGCAGGGAGATGGCGGAGGAGAGGAGGGGGAGGCGTAGGAGGAGGGGGGGGATGCCGGAGGAAAGAGGGAGGGAGAGCGGGATGGAGAGGGGGGGAGGGGATGCATGGTGGTTGTGGCGATGATGAGATTGCTGCTGATGATGATGATGACAGTGGTGATGGTGGCGATGGTGATGATGACGTTGAGGATGATGGTGATGATGCTGATGGTGACGACAATGATGAGGATGATGAGGATGATGAGGATGATGGTGATGATGAGGAGGAGGAGAAGGAATATCAGGATGGTGACGCAACTGATGGTGGTGATCATGGTGCTGCTGATGATGCTTATGAGGGTGATGATGGTGATGATGATGATGCTGTTGCTGTTGTTGGTTTTGTTAGTGCTTTTATTGTTGTTGGTGGTGGTGACTAGCGTTGTTGTTATTATTTTTGCTGCGTCTGTTGTTGATGTTGTTGTTGTTGTTGTTGTTGTTGTTGTCGTTGTTCATGTTGTTGTTACTAGCGACGCTTGCTGGCGCCGGTATAACGGAGCAATCGAACTCGATTACTCCGTGTATCCGGTACACGGAGTCACCGAGTGCGAACACTCTGTGTATCGGATACACGGAGTAATCGAGTGCGATTACTCCGTGTATCTAATATGCAGGTTCCCGTAGTAATCTAATTCGAATCTGCTTCGGGTACACGGAGTAATCGAGTGCGATTACTCCGTGCATTCAAGATGCACGTTCCAATAGGAATCTAATTAGAATCTGCCAGGGATACACGGAGTAACCGAGTGCGATTTCTCCGTGTATCCAATATGCAGGTTCAAATAGGAATTCAATTCGAATCTGCTTCGGATACACGGATTAACCGAGCGCGATTACTCCGTGTATCCAATATACAGGTTCCAATTAAGAATCCAATTCGAATTTGCCTCGGATACACGGAGGAATCGAGTGCGATTATTCCGTGTATCCAATATGTGGGTTCCGATAGGAATCCAATTGGAATCTGCCTTGGATACACGGAGTAATCGAGTGCGATTACTCCGTGTATCCAGCACGCAGGTTCCAATAGGGAATCGGGCCGGACCCGGCTGCGGAATCGGCCCGGGAGGCCTCGCATTTCCAAAGAAAGAATGTATTGAAATGGCTTTTGTTCGGCGCCGCCGCGGATCTCGATTTTCCAGCGCCGGCCGGCGCTATCCAATTTAGAATCTGCTTCGGATACACGGAGTAATCGAGTGCGATTACTCCGTACATCGAAAATGCAGGTTCCAATACGAATCTAATTAGAATCTGCCTCGGATACACGGAGTCATCGAGTGCGATTACTCCGTGTATCCAATGTGCATGTTCTAATAGGCATCCAAGTAGAATCTGCCTCGGATACACGGAGTAATCGAGTGCGACTACTCCCTGTATCCGATACACAGAGTAATCGAGTGCGAGTACTCCGTTGACCAATATGCATATTCCAATAGGAATCCAATTCGAATTTGCTTCGGATACATGGAGTAATCGGGTGCGATTATTCCGTGTATCCAATGTGCATGTTGCCTCGGATACACGGAGTAATCGAGTGCGATTACTCTGTGTATCCAATATGCAGGTTCCAATCGGAATGAAATTCGAATCTGCTTCGGATACACGGAGTAATCGAGTGCGATTACTCCGTGTATCCAATGTGCATGTTCTGATAGGAATCCAAGTAGAATCTGCTTCGGATACACGGAGTATTCGAGTGCGATTGCTCACTGTATCCAAAATGCAGGGTCCAATAGGAATCGAGTTCGAATCTGCCTCGGATACACGGAGTAATCGAGTGCGATTACTCTGTATCCAATATGCACGTCCCAATAGAAATCCAATTAGAATATGCCTCGGATACACAGAGTAATCGAGTGCGATTGCTCCGTGTATCCAGCATGCAGTTTGAATCTGCCTCGGACACACGGACGGAGCAAACGAGTGCGATTATTCCGTGTATCCAATGTGCAGGTTCCCGTCGTAATCTAATTAGAACCTGCCTCGGATACACGGAGTAATCGAGTGCGATTACTCCGTGTATCCAATATGCAGGTTCCAATAGGCATCCAATTCGAATCTGCCACGTATACACGGACTAATCGAGTGCGATTACTCCGTGTATCCAATATGCAGGTTCCAATAGGAATCCAGTTATAATCTGCCTCGGATACACGGAGCCAGCGAGTGCGATTACGCCGTGTTTCCAAAATGCAGGTTCCAATAGGAATCAATTTCGAATCTGCCTCGGACACATGGACGGAGCAAACGAGTGCGATTATTCCGTGTATCCAATGTGCAGGTTCCCGTAGTAATCTAAGTAGACCCTGCCTCGGATACACGGAGGAATCGAGTGCGATTACTCCGTGTATCCAATATGCAGGTTCCAATAGGAATCCAATTCGAATCTGCCTCGGATACACGGAGTAATCGAGTGCGATTACTCCGTGTATCCAATGTGCATGTTCTGATAGGGGTCCAAGTCGAATCTGCTTCGGGTGCACGGAGTATTCGAGTGCGATTGCTCAGTGTATCCAAAATGCAGGGCCAAATAAGAATCGAATTCGAATCTGCCTCGGATACACGGAGTAGTCGAGTGCGATTACTCCGTATCCAATATGCAGGCCCCAATAAACATCCAATTAGAATATGCCTCGGATACACAGAGTAATCGAGTGCGATTGCTCCGTGTATCCAATATGCAGGTTCCAATCGGAATCCAATTTGAATCTGCCCCGGATACACGGAGTAATCGAGTGCGTTTACTCCGTGTATCCAGTATGCAGGTTCCGATAGGAATCCAAGTATAATCTGCATCGGATACACGGGGTAATCGAGTGCGATTAATGTGTGTATCCAATATACAGTTCCCCATAAGAATCCAATTCGAACCTGCTTCGGGTAAACTGAGTAATCGAGTGTGATTACTCCGTTTATCCAGTATGCAGGTTCCGATAGGAAACCAAGTATAATCAGCAGCGGATACACGGAGTAACCGAGAGCGATTACTCCGTGTATCAAATATGCATGTTCCAGTAGGAATCCAATTCGAATCTGCTTCGGATACACGGAGTAATCGAGTGCGATTACTCTGTGTATCCAATTTGCAGGTTCCAATAGGAATCCAATTCGAATCTGCCTCGGGTACACGGAGAAATCGGGTGCGATTGCTCAGTGTATCCAGCATTCAGGTTCCACTCGGAATCCATTTCGAATCTGCCTCGGGTACACGGAGTAATGGAGTGCGATTACTCCGTGTATCCAATATGCAGTTTCCCAAAGGAATCCAATTAGAAACTGCTTCGGATACACGGAGTAATCGAGTACGATTGTGCCTTGTATCCAATATGCAGGTTCCAATAGGAGTCCAATTAATATCTGCTTCGGATACACGGAGTAATCGAGTGCGATACCTCCGTGTATCCACTATGCAGGTCCCAATAGGAATCGAATTCGAATCAGCCTCGGATACACGGAGTAATCGAGGTCGATTACTCCGTGTATGCCGGCGCCAGGAGGCGTCGCCGATTTGTTGTTGTTGTTGTTGTTCATGATGTTGTTGTTGTTGCTGTTGTTGTTGTTGAACATTATTTATTCTAAAGAATAATTATTGTTGGGACCCCTGGTGCGCGACCCCCTCGCCGCGCCTAGGCCGCAGCTACATTTTCATCATTTTCGTGAGGAAGCCTCAGGTAATACGATGTCATCAAGATCCGGTTGTTTTGTTCCCCCCCGCTGTCCCTTGCAAAAAACACTATAAAATGAAATTTCTTGTTCTAAAATAACCAAACTTCAAGAATCCCTTGCAAAAAATAAGGTAAAGTGGACATTCGCGCGCGCAAGACGAAATCCTTCCAAAACCTTAGTGTTCGTAGCGATTTCAACATAAAAACATCAAAAAACCAATTTTTTTTTTTTTTTAAAAAAGTGTCACAATTTCATCCCGCGCGCTCTTGCGGATTTGCAGGAAACCCAACTTTTTTAAACATTTCTGTCAAACGGGCTTTTGCGATCAACTTCTTCACGTGCTTCGAACTTCTCCAACAACGGTTGCGCACCTGCCAGGGCCATCATCCCTGTCAAATAATACCATGCGGGACACATTCGTTTTTTCTTTCCGTGCGCACGCCGAAATCTTCAAAAACCATTGGGTTTCGTAGGAATTTTAGCACCGCGCAACATAAAATCATTTTTCGCACCGTAGGCCCTTCAAATCGTCGTCGTCGTATACTAAGCTAGTTTCCACAAGATGTTACCACAAGAAGTCATTGAAACCATGCGCCAGTGTAGTAGCCACGGTCGTCCGCATGCCACGAAGTGAAGTGTCCGAACGTCATAGGGCGGGAAGCTGGGTGTGGGTGGTGGCGAAGAGTCGTTTGGAAATGTGGTAGAGCTTGAACCGGCCCCCCCACAAAGTGGGGGTATTGGCGGGCGTCGTATGAAAACCCTGGCACTGGTGAGAACACTGAGCGTTCGGGTAAAATGATTGTTGTTGTTGTTGTTGTTGTTCGGTTGTTGTCGTTTCGGTGTTGTTGTTCTTGTTGTTGAACTCTCGCTTCTGTAGAATATTTTTTGTTGATCCCCCCTCACCGGTGCACACTATTTTTTCATAATCACAGTGTGCCCCTCGACGCTCGCACCCGGTTGTTTGACAGGGAAAGTCTTCCTGCTCAAACTGCGCCCCTGGCCTCCGGGACTACAACAACGGCTCCCGCCTGAAAAGTTCTCCAAATTTTCTTAGGACCCCCGCTCCTGAGACTTCATCACAATTTTCTCAGGATCGGTGCTCCCGCTTGTGACTTCCTCGCAATTTAGTCCGGGCCCCCGCTCCCATCTGAGACTTCCTTACAATTTACCCAAGGAGCGCGCTCCCGCTTGAGACCTTCTCGCAATTGAGTCAAGACTTC